AAAATGGTTATTTATAAAAAAAATATTTTGTGATAAATTTTTCACACACACATAATTATTTTAAAACTTTCCCTTATATTTTTTTGATACATTATACTTAATATGGTTGAAATTTATATCATTTTTGTTTATTATACTGCTGTTTAGTGTGACTCGACAAGAATTTATCATATTCTAGCAACATTCATACTCTTCTTGGAAGATGCCACTGGCCGCAGATGATCAAATCTTCAAACTTTGGCATTCCAAGGGACGTCAAACGTGAACACACGATCAGTTCGCAACCAGTGAAAACCACATGTAGCTGAAGTGGGAAGAGCAGCGGAAACTGTAGAAGCGGATTTGATCACCTAAACAACATGTAGAAACACATGTTGGAGCACGCAAAGTATGTGACTTCTTTATTCGAACTGCAGAAGCACTTGTCCGTGCCCCAATTTATCCTTTTCGCACTAATCCTCGTTCACCTAAACAGGATTCCCTACCCACAAGCTCTACAGCTCACTCAAAACCCGGCATATTTGAAGATAATCTGCCGCCACTTCTCTTCTTCTTCCCGCCGGCGCTCCGGACCGGGCATGAACACGCTCTCCGGCTGCGCATTGAGCACCTCTTCCACTTCCTCCGCCGGGACGCCGAAGGCCATCGCCTTCGCCGCCCTGTCGAGTCTGTTCAGCACGTTGTTCCTCCCCGCGAGGTAGTACCTCCGGTTGTTCTCCGACCGTATCCCGAAGCAGAGGACCTGAAGGTTTTCGTTAGCAGCGGCCACGACTGCCGCCGGGTGCCCTGCGGGGATCACGAACACCGACCCACGGGAGACTCGCGATCTCACGGTCCGATAGCGGACGCGCTGCTCCCCTTGGGATCCCGTCTCCTCCTGGGTTCTGCGTCGCTCGGCGGAGCGGTGGGGACAAGCCATCTCGATGTAGCCTCTTCCTTCCACCACCATGGCCAACTTGGTCGACCGGGTGTCGTAGTTTGGAGCCATCATTGATCGCTACACATAACAACCGCAGAGGATGAATGATGAGAACGACTCTTACAGTGTGCATATAACAGTGCAAACAAAGAGAGGAGTGAGATCACCTCGCTAATGTTAGCAATGGATACGTCCACATTCAGATCCTGGAGCATCTCGCACTCGTTACCTGTGGCCTCGTGTAGTTGACCGTGCTCATTCGAATGAGAAGGGCTGTTCTCCAGCAGATTGTATGGCTCATTTGAGAGTCCAAAAGGCCAACTCTCGGTTTTGGATTCATTCAATGCTCTGATTTGATCCTCGGTTATCTTTATGATTCCCCCCTTCCTCTGGCTCCGAAATACCCTCCCTAGTTTATCCCACGGAGTCTACAGATCAAACACAGTACGGTTAAATTCCTAAAGGGGGAAGAGTCGATGAGAAAATGG